TATTCTGAAGCCAACATTGGCTTCAGAGTGTGGATATTATGGATAAAGTATGTGAAGGGAACCCATAAACCTTCACAGGGTAGAAAATTCTACCCATAAAATTATCATAAGTCAGAGTCTAATAGGACTGTCAATCTATAGGATTGGCTATAATAAACTGATAAGTTAAAACCTTTAAGATAATAATAATTGCTATTGTAAATATATCACTTTAACCAAATCCTTTCAACCTAAAGTTTATTAGAAAACAATTAGTAAAAGAATGGTATTAGATATAAAAGATGAGTCAAAACTATCTGTTGTTCCTAACCTTCCAAATATATATCCTCAGGGTCCATTGTTTGGAATATTCAGAACCCTTGGAGTGTTCCAATGATTTGGAATGATCTAAATCAAATAATGATTAGGCTGGTGATTACATCACGGCCTATCAAGGACTGGGGCAAATATATAAGTTATACCCATAATTGTAAAAACTTGAATATTATGTTGAGGGAACCAGTAACCAATATTATTAGTACCTCCTGGGAATCTTTTAGTTTAAGTTTAGTTATTATTTTCCTATTATATTCTATTAGTAGTATAGCCAAGGTTTTCCCCTTGAGATATTGTCCAGGCTAATTTTATTTTTCTATCTTAAGTTTATTTCTTTTTATCTTTATTTTATCTGACAATAAAGTTACCTCTATAAGCATTCATAAATATTATTCTACCCAAAATGGAGGAGGGAGGGGAACCACCAGCACAGGACTCTGCAACAATAAAATAATAATAGTTGGAAAAGGTATAAAAATTGCTCCATCTGGGGATCGAACCCAGGACCTCCGCGTTTCTCAACGCATTCATAGTATTTTTTAGTACTATAAGCACAGCGCTCTAACCAGCTGAGCTAATGAGGCATCTCTTCTCCACTTTTCTTTTTTATACCTATATCGGCCCCACCTCTTTTTGGCCTATAAAAGTATCAAAAAAGATGCTTCCCACTGAAGAAAACTTCTTCAGTGCCTTGCAGGAAGACGCTCCGCCCCCCACCACCACCACCACCACCAACACTCTGCCTGCCGATTCAGGCAGGCCCGAACTCACCACCCTTGACATTCAGGGTGAGCAAGCCCAGGAAAGGGCAAAGGGGCCCCCACAGGCCAGAGTGGAGAACACTCTGGGGAACCTGCTGGGGAACACACCCACAGCACTGCTGCTGCTGTTGCAGCCCCCAACGCCGCCGCCGACATCGCCGCGCCCTCCGATGAGGGCAATTGGGAGGTCGCGAGGGCTGGGAAGAGGAGACGAAGCCCCAGCCCCCCCTCCCAAGCCGCTGGGAATGCCCTGGCAACCACTGCTGGTGTTGCCAGTGGTCGCCACCGCGGAAATCGCCGCCGCCACCCAGCAATTCGCGAAAATCGCGAAAATGGGCCAGAATTGGGCAAAAAAATTGCCATAAATTCAAAAAGTGGCCCTGAGGGGCCGAAAAG